ATTCGTGTCAAATACAGTGGTTCAAGCCTCCCCAAGCTCCACAGTCTCCTGGGGAGAGGGAAGCAGGTACAGGACATGGAATCTACACTTTTCCCCAGCACCTTGCTCAGAGACCAGCTCTTCTCTGCTCCTCAGTGAGGAGATTATCTTGGAAAAGGAAAGGCTTAAAAGAACTGACCGCACCCATCAGCTACACTGCAAAACGTTGGTGCAACTATGGACCCAGCAATTGCTACTAAGAGACCATTCGCCGCTGGGGATAGCAGCTGTGTCTGCATTAACTGTCTAGTGTGACCTGCCCTCTCCAGGGACTCCCGCACACACTCAGCCCCACAGCTCCGCTCAGAGAGGGCTTCACTTTCAAGGAAAGCAGCATGTTTACCATCGATGTGATCATGCGTAGCGAGCGTGACTTGCATCAGGGATCATTCACAGAGGAATTGGCTTTGCTGCAGCTGCAAATAGCATTGTTATAAACTTTTCTCTGTCTGGACCAGATCATGGAGAGTCATCAGATAACCCTCCTTACTTATGGGTAGAGTCAGGGAGCTACCATCAAGCTCTCACGTCTACCATAGGCTGCCCTTTATTGACTGAAGAGAAAGTCCCTGTTTGCCGGCACCATGATTGTGGCTGGGCTAGGACGATGCTCAGGCTGTTCTGTCTACCATCGCATCATCAGCATTTCTTCTATTCACAGCAGTACCTACCTGATAGGTCTGTAGTGGAGATTAAATAAATTAATACCTGCAAAAGCCCTGCAACTGTGTCTGGTACCTAGTAAGCTGTATAAAAGTATTAGTTGTTATTTTTGTTTATTCAATCCAATGAATATGCAGGGAGCACTTACAAAGTGTCGGGAAATGTACTAGGCTTTGAAGACATAACAGTGGACAGCAGTGGCCTATTTCCTTCTAGCCCTCGAGGAGCTTAGGGCAGAATCCATGGGCTTTCACAGAGACTTTCTCCAGAGGATAGAAACCTGCCCTGTACTGTGAGAAGAGCAGACATTTAATTTCCCATTTCCCCAGGTGATAGGTAAGTACTGCTTGCTGACCTGCTGCTTGAGAGGCAGGGGAAGGGCCCACCCTCTGAGCCTCCCTTTGTGCTTCCCAAGGCAACTAGACATCAAGGCTGGTCCCTTAGACTAAAAGCCTATCCCGTGTCATTCCAACCTCGTGTTTATCTACTGAAAAACCATTTTTCATAAGACCCCCATGTTTTTTCTCCTAGCAGAGCCTTTCCAGTTAGAATACACCCCCAAAGTAACCCTTTTAGTGATAGTTAATATTGTCAACTTTATCAGATCAAAGGACGCAAAGTGCTGTTTCTGAGCGTATCTGGGTGTTTCTGGGTGTTGCCAAAGGAGATTAACATTTGAGTCAGTAGACTGGAAGAGACAGACCCACTCTCAACGTGAATGGACACCATTCAATCAGCTGCCAGCGTGGCTAAAAAACCAAGCAGAAGGTGGAAGGGGCAGACTTGCAGAGTCCTTCTCCTGTGCTGGATGTCAAGCATCAGACTCCACGTCCCTTGGCTTTTGGACTCCTGGACTTACACGAGTGGCTTGCTGGGTGCTCTCAGGCCTTTTGCCACAGCCTGAAGCCTGCACTGTCGGCTTCCCTACTTTTGAGGTTTTGGGACTTGGGCTGGCTTCGAAATCAATACTGGTTTCCTTGCTCCTCAGCTTGCAGACACCTTATTGTGGGACTTCACCTTATGATCATGTGAGTCGATTCTTCTTAGTAAACTCTCTTTCATATATACATATATCCTATTCATTCTGTCCCTCTAGAGAACCCTAATACATTGTCCTTTGACCATAAAAAAATAACATTGAGAAAATGATCCCAGGGCCACCCTCAACTACCCCATTTTTGGCATCCCATAAAATCTTCTTGATGACTTTGACATTAAAAGGTCAGTCTCTCCACTGCAGCTAACACATCTCACCCTGGTCTCCTTTTCCTTGGACATGGAAAATAGCCACTCAGCATACTCCAGTGAATACCCCTGAGAGGAGTACCCAGACCTCTGAAATGCCAGGCATACATCACCTTGAGAAAGTCTGGAATTTCTTTTAGGAATTCATCTTAATTGATTCATCATTCAACAAATATTGAGTACACAGTATATGCGAGGCACAACGTGAAAAAAAATAATAAACATTTCTTCATTCAAGTAGCTCACATTCCTGAAGGGAAGACAAATGTAGACAACTTACAATACAGTTGGATGAGTTGGATAATAGAAATATGCATCCAGTGGCTCTTTGCTGTAGGGTAATTTGTTAAAAATATTATCCCATTGCTGACAGGCTTTTCATCCTCAACTTCCTGCACATCTTCTCTGACAATTCCCTGGATATGCCATGTTGATTAATTCCTTCACCTGCCATGCCCTTCCCTACTTCTCCTTGTCCATATAGCAAACTCCTATTCATCCTTTAAAACCCTTTTCAGGCTATCCCAAACATTTATTTATATATATATATATATATATATATATATATATA